ATTTATTTACGATTTCACCCTTATGGTGGGGTTTGGCCTAAAGGAATGGCCTTGTGTTGACACGGGCAAAGAGAAAATTGACCCGATCCGTGACGAAAGACTTACAAAACTGCTCGGAAAACAAGGCATGAAACACTGTTTCGTCAAACCGTGGTCATTTGGTCAGGATGGCGAAAAGGAACGCCAGCTAAAAAGCCCCGTGGGTATCGCTACGAATCCGCTAGAGCATTTCATTGTGGCGGACGATGGGGATAAATTGATCAAAGTCTTTGACAGTAATGGGAACTTTCAACAGTATGTCAATATCCAGACTAACAGTGCCAGGGAAGAGTTGTACATTCTCGATATCGCTGCTGACGAAGACAACAATTTCTATGTACTGTTGGGACTGAAGAAGCTCGTGACTAAAGATTTTGAGCTGGAAGTCCATATATTCAGTGCAGCAAATTCACTGCTTCGCAAATTTCCTGTTAAAAAAGGGCCTTGGGGACAGGGCAGGAAATTGGCAATTTGCAGCGGTAAAGTCCTGGTATTAAGAGGATCTGGATCGGGAGATGTGGTTGAAGTCTACAGGTGTGATGGGAAACTAGTCCGTAGCTTTGGTGGGGGATTCTTCAAAAATGCAGGAGATATCGCAGCTATCAATGACCGCGTGATAGTGATGGACACCGGTAATGGCAGCGTCCACATTTTCACTCTGAAGGGAAAACATGAAGCCAAAGTTTCTGTGGACATCGAGGAATATCACTATTTCAGAGCTGCCCTCCATCCTACAGGCAATTATTTCATCTTGGCTGGCTTTGAACGATTGACCGCATATCCAAGTATGGCAGTTTTTTCTACCACTGGAGAATTTGTACGGAGGATCCAATTGAGTAACGAAAAGACTAAGTTTTTGGGAGGTATGGCAGTAACCAAGAAGGGTCAAGTTGCTCTAGTAGTTGGAGGGGAGAGTGAGACTTGTAGGGTGAGTTTGATTGCTCTGTAAACAAGAATGTTTAGTTCTATCACATTATCTGAGTTCTAAAGGTTTTTTTGCCTCTATTAAATGATCGAAAGTGCAGAATCGTTCGAGCTTATCTTTCAGAGAGTTCAGTCACTCAATTTCCTACTTGAAATTCTTGTCGGAATCTGCACAATATAATGGCATTCATGTAAGAATTAATAAAAACAACCTTGCTTTTGCGCTTGCGCCGGAAACCTTGGCTTCGTTTCTTTCTTGTGGCCAAATTACCTTAGTAGGGAGCTTTAGCGTGTACGACGGCGGCGGCAGCGATAAGGTCACTTTTTAAATTCGCGTTTTTTCAATCGTTGTAGCGTTTATTCCAATTCGCTAAAAATGGCAATTATAGAGGAATTTTAGTAGAGTTGATATCTAGGGAACCGCACTCAGCTCAAAAAGATCAATTATTTATGCCTAATATCTAAACAAGTTTTTATCAGACATAGTTAATTATAGTGGAATGGTTGGGAAACGCTTTGTTATATGTTTTTGTTTGCTTTTTTGGACCTGTCCGTGCAGAACATACTGACCAACAGGGACAATGCATTAATTTATTCAGTCACAATTTGTGAACAAAAAACAAAGGATTGTGCACGGTCAGGGAGCTTCCAACATAAACTACAGCACCGTTGTTTTCAACTTTGATGTTTGCCGGCTCTCCTAACCAGTCTCCTCTTCTAACTATGGTTCAAAGTTTACACAACTTTTGTGTGATGCAAGTAATTTATTGTGTTGCTTTGATTATTGTCCTGTATACTCGCAAGATGGCTTAAATTGCCTGGATCATTCTTCAGTATTTACATTTGCTAGGGACGTCCGTACATTGCGTTCAAACCATTGGTATAAATGATATGTCAAGTCTGTGAGAACTGATTAATTCGCTCAAGTGTTCATTCTATGTTAGAATTATTAACCAGTGGATTGATTTGCATAACGCAATTGCAGAAGCAGAAAGCTTAGATTCCTTTAAAAGGAAATTGAAAAAAAATAAACATTTATTTACCTGGCCCTATTTTGCGTTAGTGTTTTAGGGCGTGTTTACAAGGAGTGAGGAGGTTACCCTAGCAAGCGGGTTAAAGTTAACTCTGGTCTACAAGCAAAATTTCGCAAGTATGGTTACCGTCATGCGTGACCACATAAGACTAAAATAACCATTCTTTGTAACGTGCAATATTTGAACAAAATCTTGAAGATCCATTTTAAACATGTTTAATTCACGGAAAATCATGTAATTTAGAGGTCGAAAAATTCGATAACTCGGTTCAAATTTTCAAGATTAAAAGTTATCCTGGGTAGGCGAGTTACCCTAACAAAGCACAAGGCAGGTAGGGTAAACCTCTTTCTAAGGTAACCCTAGCACTCTGGTAGGGTTATTCTCCCTCCTTTTTAAACAGGTCCTTATATATCAAGAAATTCAATCGCAATTTTTTAACTGCATTTTAACTTGTAACGTATTTTTATTTTTTATTAAGCTTGTTTTTCTCATTTATATTTGTTTGGAAGGTATCTTTATTAGAGCTAACCTCTGATACCTCCTTTTCGTATGATTTATTGATTATGTGAATAAAGTGTGATTTACCCTTTCGAGAGGGACTACGTATTATGGGGATTATCAACACAACACCAGAATAGTCAGGAACAGTTATCGAGCTTTTTAAAATAGTCAAGTTTTGTGCAAATCTGGCCAATAGTGAACGATATAAAGCCATTCAGAATCTCCAAAATTTACTAAGAAATGTATGGACTTCGGAAAACCTGTCCAGTAAACCAATTTCTTGAGTGGCTGTATCCTCTTCAATATTTCCCCTATTAACACCAAACCTGGGGATTTTACAAAGCTCGGTGTGCTCTCCCTGGCGTGTGGGTAATTTCATATTGTACGTGATCGTACCCAGTCCTCCTCGGTTTGAAAATAGGCAAAAGCTCAATGGTTGGAGCGTCCGGCCGTCTGCTAGGGGCTGGGGTGTTTTCGACCACTACTTTATATTAAACATCTAAATTGTTTGTTTTACGTTAAATTTTGTCATATCCACATGCTAAAATCTGCTATTCACAAAACATTGATAAACGTACTTTATTATACTTTGTCAGGAAAATCCCTCATTTTCACAAAACGTCTCATTCTTCCTTTTAACAGAAATTTGCAGCTCAAACTGCTCTTTATTCTGACCAAAAAGTGTCTCCAGCAAAGTTGTACATGTAATCTACGTAAAGAAATTAAAACGACCATTTTCATTTTATTTTTTTGTTTCTTTAGTACATGATAATAAAAAATATTGAGCGTGAGAATTTTTGTTAAACTGAGTTATACCTCAGTCTCGCACAGTATTTTTTTACACATTCAGCTGAATTTTTGAAAAAATGCTTTATAAGGGAAAAAAATGTCCTTGAATCTCGTACAGGATGTCCCTCTTTACTGAGACTGTTAAAAATTTGAGCCAACTAGGCCATTTTTAAATGAAAATAGAGCTTTCATAAATCCTTCTTATAGATCCACTTTTCGCACTCTTTGTGCGTCTCTCTGCCACGGAATGTCTGTTATTTTTCCCAAAATCTTCATTCCGAATTAATTAGTGTGACACAAGTGTCCCATGATTATGCACCCTCCTCAGACATACTCTAATATACTTAATTGAAGGAGGGGAGTGTCCTTTACTTCTTGTCTATGATGAAGTTCAACAAAGCAAGCTGTTAACCGATTTTCAACCAGGATAAAGCATGATCAAGGACTAGTGTGTGTTTTCCCTTCATGAATCATCTTTTAGGTTTAGGCTATATCTGCCTTGTGACAATGACCTCAATTTCATGGAGGAGGTGCTGCCTCGGGTTTTTCACGTTTTGCGATACAATTTTTGTCAGTTCTAGTGTCGAACACCCTGTAAATGACTAGTTTATAATAATGAAATACCGCAAAAAGAATGATTTGATTTGCCTAGAACCATACTCTGAGCGACGGAAGTAATATTGGTTTAAAGCATTTTTGTGGTCACATTGCCTTGTCTTAAGAGTATTTAAGCAATTTACCTTTATAAATCTTGCTGACAATTAAATGCCTTACTTAGTCTCAGTACTTGACAATTTTTGGTCAAGTTTAAAAAATATTTTGAAAATAGGGGAGACTTTCGAAGTGACGGACATTGTGGAACAAAAGAAATGTTATAAGATTTTAGGATGTTTGAATATTGATATCTATAGACAAGGACTATACTCACTGCTACAGCTATATATCTCACTTTTAATGATGCTCCTGTGGCCTCTTAACCTTTTCTACTCTATTGTAAATTTATCCTTATTCTTTTATAAAATTAAATCAAAATGGGCCCTTAACTCGAGAAATTAGCTCCTCTTGGAAATATGCCCTCACAACAGTAGGTAAACTTGTGTAGCTACTATTGAGATCAGATTGTGACATTTTTAAAATGCCTTGTTAGTTGATATTACTAACAATCAGCAAATTCTTGGCACGAGTTAAAACGACACCAAGCTTCTCTTTATAAAACTTGACTCATTTTTGCAGTTCATATACCGTTAAAATCACGATCAGTTGATCGTCGTGAGATTTAACATATCAGTTCAAAATTCAAGGTAGTGTAGTGTCATCATTAATTTGGGCCATTTTTGACTGAACCGTTAGACCGTGACTTATAACCCTTTAAGCCCCAATATCCAAATACAAATTCTCCAAACTGATCTCCATACATTTCCTTCATAAATGAGTTGAGAGAATTTGATAAAAGATCAAGGCTTTTCCCTTAGGTGATCATTTTATTCATTCTCATAACCTAATCTCTTGACAATGTATGGATATCGTTAGGAGAAAATTGACGTTCGTCACTTTTGGGACTTAAAGGGTTAATGGTTTTATTGCAAAACCTAGCTGATATAGCAATGACTTCCTTAAGAAACCTCAGAGAGATTATGCCGATATAATCAGCACTCGCCCTGTCTGCTTTAAGTCAGTTACAGCATTTTTCTGTGGTGTTTGACATCAGTTATTATGTCTGCAATAGTGACAACAGTTTTCAAAGCAACTATCGGTTTGCTTGTGCGAAAAGGAAGAGCAGCCGCAGCGGAAAAGCTCAAAGAAGGTGATGTGGTTGATCAGAAATTCCGTCGCCTGATCTTGCGTGAAATTGACGATGTTAAGTCCAAGTTGGATGGACTAGCAAGAAAGGACTTATTGTCAAGCTTCAGCTCCTTTGCAGAAGGTATCGAGTACTTGTATGAAGTGTTTGACAGATCAAAAGCAAGAGTCGAGTATGAAGAGGATGCTTTCGCAGCGCAAGCTGCTGCTGACAAAGCTGGAAGACAGACACGTTTTCTCACGAGGCAAATGAGTTCCTTAGATGAGACCGACCTGCTGGATGATTCAGTAAGAAAAGAACTAGAAATCGCGAAAAAAAGGTTTGAATACGCCCGTGAGAAAGCGAGGGATGCCTTTGCCAATGAAGCACTGGATTTGTGTGATCGCATTTTAGCCATGCAGTATCGAGTTATGGCAACAATACTACAGAGTTGTGACAGTCCCCAGGATGCGCTACCAGCCTGTAGAGTGTGCATTGAAGAACTACACTCCTTGGCTACTGTTAAGGAGTGCTTTGACGTGCAGCTCAACAAAGGGTTCTGGGCCCGATTTAGCAAAGACGAAAGGCGGAAAGTTATCTCTGCCGTCTGCCATTTAAATCGAGTTATTTACGATGTCACCCTTATGGTGGGGTTTGGCGTTAAGGAATGGCCCTACGTTGACACGGGAAAAGAGAAAATTGATCCGATTCGTGACGAAAGACTCACCAAACTTTTACGAAAACAAGGCATGGAGCACTGTTTCGTCAAACCGTGGTCGTTTGGTCAGAATGGTGAAAAGGAACAGAGAGTAAGGAGCCCTGTGGGTATCGCTACGAATACACGAGAGCACTTTATTGTGGCGGACGATGGAGATAAATCAGTCAAGGTGTTTGAAAGCAACGGAAACTTCTTACGCAGTGTTAGTCTGCAAAGTGATGATGCGGGCAATACTGAGCTGCATATTCTTGATATTGCTACTGATGAATATGACAACAGCTATGTCTTGATCGGACTACAGAAGTTCGAGATTAAAGAAAATGAGATGGAAGTCCAAATATTCAACACCGCAACTTCCCTGCGTCGCAAGTTTCATGTGAAAAAAGGGCCATGGGGACAGGGCAGAAGACTGACAATTTGCAGAGGCAAAGTCTTGGTATTAAGAGGATCCGGATCAGGAGATGTTGTAGAAGTATATAAAGGCGATGGACGATTTGTTCGTAACTTTGGAGGAGGACTGATTAAAAGTGCAAGAGATATCGCTGCTACTGGGGATCACATCATGGTCATGGACACTGGTGATTGTAGCGTCCACCTATTCACTCTTAAGGGAAAACGCGAGGCCAAAATCACTGTCGACTTTAATGGAGATCACCATTTGAGAGCTGCCTTCCATCCTACAGGTGAACAGTTTGTTGTGGCTGGGTACGAAAGAGAAAAGGCATATCCAGTAATGGCGGTTTTCAGCACCGCAGGAGACTTTGTGCGTAGGATTCAATTCGGGGAAGTAAAGACTAATTGGGTTGGCGGCATGATAGTGACCATGGAGGGTCAAGTTGCTGTAATAGTTGGAGGGGAGAGTGAACCTTGCAAAGTGAGTATAGTTGCCATGTAAACACAACTTTGTCGGTCAATGAAATCAACCGAGTCAATAAGATTCAGTCGCAAAAAGAAAAGAGAGAAAGTTTATGGCTCGAGAGAGACTCTTCTTTGAAAGCAATTGATATCAACAAGCGTGAGTAGAAAGGAACAAGACTTAGACAGAATAGCTTTGCTATGTTGACTTAGGTGGTAATACCACATCGCCGTGTTTCACTCTCCCATCAACGCAACCTCATCTTTTTTAGTACATGTATGAGATATTGTTGAAGGGTATATTTAATTAAAAATGTTATCACCTAAAACTAGCGATATAATACTATAATTATTATACATATCAATACTACATCCACACTTCTCACGCTGGTCCAACAAAGTAGAAATGCTCCGTTTCTTAAATTTAAGGAATATTTTTTGTTTCAAGCACTAAAAGTCTGAAGTTCGAGAGTTTTTCTGGTAAAAGAACGTTTACTCGAAAACATTTAAAAACAAGTCAATTGCTCTAGAGTAACTAATATGTATTAAGTATCTTGAAGGGTGCATTCAAATAGTATTGCTTGCATTGGTCACTTTGCAATTCATTATTTTGCTTTATAGAGTAGTTTTAATCAGTGAAATATAAGTCATATGCTTTATTTCAAGACACTTGTCTTACAAAGTATTTGCAGTGGAAAAGTTGTTAAATCTAAACTTCATGATTGGAAGAATACAGTGTAGGTTGCATAATCTCTTTTTCCAACGCTGTGTATTTTACCGATATTATTATTGAATTGGAGTTGCGAATCCAATGGCCTAAGATTAGTTAAGCAGACTGAGACGCGACGCTTCTTGAGTGTTTAAAGTGGGATGCGTATCGTTTACTTGTTATGTTTGGGTACGAATTCAGTTTACACTGTAATTCGTTTCTCAGCAACTTCAGTCGTAGTTTTGATCGCAAAACAAAGGATTATGTGCCGTTAGGGAGCTCCCAACATGCATGGAAAAACTGCAGCCCTGTAATTTATCTTTGATGTTTACCGGCTTTTAGCAGCACTACTTTGACTTAAATAAAGGCATTATGAATGGACTGGCATAAAAGCTCTTTTAACAAAAACTATACGAAAAAATTTCGGTTATTGTCAAACTTTAAATTTATTTCTCTTTCTGAGCACCAAAGGCGCAGACCTATGGTATCTGCTAGGGTTGTGTCCGCGTGATAGAGCCGTCGGCTTCTGAAAACGAACTCCGCTACATACCGCTTTCTTTGTACTGTGAAACCTAGCGGACACCCTGGGAAATCTTCAGTGTCTGCTTGACAGAGTTGTAAAAACCAGGCTTGTCTTTCAGAGAATAGAGCGTTTTCAGATAACGTAACGTTTGCCGTATTGGTATTCCAAATTAATGAAACGGCGGCCATAATGGTGTTCAAAGCCCCTTTTTGATCATCTATTTGATACCTTGAGTCTGGAAAAAGAAATTATTGTTCTGGAAAAAAGTCTTGAATTTTGGATCCAAAAATCTGTACGAACCCAATATAAAATAGGCCATTTGCACAATGACGTCGTATTAGTACTTCTGACCAGAATTCGTTTCTGTTTTTCCTTTCATATTTAAATTTGGCAATCCCAGGAGGTTTAAATAACAAAAGCTCTAATTTGCGCAAGAAAGCAAAACCCTGAAATATTCTGGTCTTAGTAGTAAAATTAAATGATTGGAAAGTGTTTTCACTGACTGGTCCTAACTACTAAATGCAGGGTGTCTGCTTCACTGCTTTGTATTATTGTGCGGTTTTTACCAGTTATTACAAAGGTACCTTTATGGATATGCTTGTGATGTCTAATATATAACAGCCATTCTCTGTAATGAGAAAGAACATGTCCATGTCCGAATAAGATGAGTTCTATTCTCAAACGTATGTTTGAAGCCAATTTTACGCCACACAATTTATTTAACTGCAATGCCATTCAATACTAACATTACCCTGCACTTTTATTTTGAACTTGACAGTGAAATATATTTTAAGTGGTCAGCGAATGCAGCTGTTCGATGGACAACCCACAGGCTTGCAATGTATCGTGAAGATCTCATGCTCATATATTTGTTCCATAATGTCGACAGAACTGACTGCATGTACATTGCTGTTGCTTTCTGTTAATAGGTATATTCAGATCTCGTTTTATTTTTTTAGCTATATTATCCATGGTACTTTTGTCCAAATTCTATTTTTTTGACGACACAGTACAAGAGGATGTTTGTAATGTGATGACATCGCATTGTGTTCTATGTTTCACTATACTTAAAATTTAACTTCACAGTTCGTCAAAAATTACCCTCTTTAACTGGATACGTTTTATATTGCGAAACTGTGAAGGGTTTGAACCCAGGAGTCATTTCAAAAGTCGGTTGAGTTTGATCGTCCGGGTGAACGTAGTCCTGAACAGGGACTGTTGTTGACAGTGACTGACGTTTCGACAACCTGTGTGGTAGTCATCTTCAGAGTCAAAGTGAGTTGTATCACGTCAGTTGATGGTATTACACTCCGGTTGTTGACCTGATTGGTCAATTACGTCGCGAACGTTTTATATTCTTACTTATGTTGGTTAAAGGAAAAGCATGTAGGTCTGGCAAAATGAAACAACTCAGTGAAAGAGCAAGTGGCTAACACATTCAAAATGACTGACGTTACCCTTCAGATACCCGAATCTTTCCAGCGATGAAAATAACAATAATAATGAATAACAAATCAAAAAAGGGGCGCTGTTGCAATGTTAAAAGCTCTGCGAAGATTTTGAACAATAATCTTTTTTTCATATCGTTTTCTCTACAGGCAAGCCTAAATGGATACTTTAATTTCTTTTTGCCTTTAACCGCGGCAGGAATAGCTTAGTCTACAGAGCGAATTACTGAAAAGCGGAGGTCGCGAATCGATTTCCAGCACCGGGCCAATACCAATAAAGGTACTGTCTTTGCCTTGTACATGACTAAACTTTTGCGTGGCTTGGATGACCACGTAATTTGGCTGTCTTGTCTCCAGTAGGAGATGATAACAAACGTGTCCTCAATTAGTCCTTTCTTGCTAAAAAGCTGGACGCTCAAATATAGTGCTTTTACTTTAAAATGGTCGTCCAATGGGAGTGCGTTCAGAAGATCATCTAGGACCACCTTTTTTAAAGATTTTTACTAAATTGAATCCTAGGCGGTCGAAAGATAGTATTGTCTACAAGGCATACATTACAAGCTCTAAAATACGATACATCTTTAATGGGCCACTCATTTGGACCATGGGAAGGTTTATTTCCAGCTTAACAGTAAGGATTATTTACTTCAAAAATTCATTATTTTTTGGCGAATTGTGTTTCTCAAGACATAACAATGAAGAGACGAAAATTTTGTCTTTAATACAGTTTTTCTTCGTGCTGACAAAACACAAACAATGGACAGGTTATTCGCAAATATAAAAATGCTTGACTTTCAATGATTGTGGTCACTTTTCAGTTTCCCCACTTTATTTACACAAAAACATTTTTTCGCCTCTTAGTGAAGACAAAAAGCAAGGCACTTAGGGCATGTTTACATGGAGGTGGGGGACCCCAGATAGGTAAGGTAACATGTGGTGGGTCACCCCACCTAACATGTAAACGTGATCAAATCAAAATGAGAGATTATATGGACAGGTGGGTTACCATACCTTAGCGGGTTACCTCACCTACGTGGGGTCCCCCACGTCCATGTAAACAGGTCCTAAAACTGTTTCCTGTCGTCTGTTGAAACGTATGGCAAGGATGAGCATTGATTGAAACTTGAAAAAGTTTGGCCAACTTTTTCAAGGTTTAATGCTATGCCTGGCAAAATCACCAAAAAAATTATAATGGTTAGTTAACCCAGATGAAATTTGTTTGATATCTTCTTCTTAACTCTACAGGTGTATTTTGTGTATTGGTTAAAGCACTGAGTAAATGACCCGCCGGCACGAACCTGATTAACCATTCACCAGAACGCCAAGGTGTTACACAAATTACCTTGTGATATAACTTTTTTGTTTGTGTAACGCATTAGAAAGGAAAAAGTTAGGTGTGTAATTGCTTCTAAATAAAAAATCTGACTAGAGACTTTGATGGTCGCAAAGGCGCAATTAGAGCATGATTTTAAGATGTTACATTAGAAGTTGTCTCAATATGTCGTCAAACAATTTGTCGCAGTCCATCTTATAGTTGTAAAGGAGACTAGTTGTGACAGCCAGCGCAAATCGAAGGTTCAAACACGCTGCAGGTTAAGTTGAGAGCAGCCCCTTACAGCGAACAATCGCTTCCAATCATTCGAACAATATCAATGAACAATGCATGTAGGCGTTTTTTATTGGTTTTTTCGACTAGGTTATTATGTTGTTGTACATAGTGCTCTTTCAGGGTACAAAAGCGGAACATATGGAAATAGTAATCTATAGGGCAACTGCAGTTTTTCATGTAAGGTAAATGCGAGAAGCAGCTGGAAAGATTTTCTGCTTATAAAAACAGAACGAAACAAGATTTTTCCGTTTTCGCTGAAGGTCTAGGACCTAACCAGAGCAAGATAAAAAAGAAGAATTTCCCTTCAGGTACTAATGGGTTTTTTGCCCTTTTTATTTTCTTTTGCCTTCGTTAATATAAACGGATATGCGCGAAGAAACTTAGGATACTAAGTTAATGGGTTACGTTAGGTTGTTGAATAAAGGGATATCTCTGTACTTAAACTTGAGTCAAGACGAGAGAAAGTTCATTTATTCAGACAGAAATATTATTTCTTGAAAATAAAATTTTTCCGTCAATTTAAAAGCATACACTGTGACTGTCGTTTGACCGTCGTGGACTCAGTGAAATTGGTTTGTACTGATCCCATCCCATTTTGTTAGATCTTAATATTCTAGCTGAAGTGATCCACAAATGACATAAAGATTTATAACACGTATTTTATGCCAAAGAAAATGTCTGTATGCATGGGAAAAGTAGGGAAGCTTTTATAGTGTCATGGCCTCTGAGTAGACCGGTTACAGGTATAAGATATTTTTCTACATTATAATGTTTTTCTTGTGAAAATATTGTCAGCTGTCTTTTTTCAGGCAATGATCTATCCATTTTCTCTTAACAGTACACTGATGAATATGAAAAACTCACGCGGTGCTTTCCGTAATGATAGAGGGGAGGATCCCTATTAGGGTTCTTCAATCCCGTCATGCCGAACCAAATTTTCGCTCAATCTCGTTAAAACGATGATTATTTTCGGCATTTTGCATACCGTGTACTCTGTTATACTTGAATCTTGCCCAGATTTTGCTTTGAGATACCGACTTTGATATAAGGCAAGCCCCGGATCCCTAAAAACCTATCGGAGACCCTCAGTAGAGACAGATGATTCATCCATCTCCAGTATCGAGCTAGTTGGCCAAGAGATAAGTTAAAGAAAAAGATTACATGTTGCCGTGCATCTGTGCCGTAAGTGGTAAGAACAAAAAGTGGTATTCGACCCGTAGGCGTGTGTGTCACTGATTTTTTATTTTCATTGCAAAATTAACAGTTACTAATTTCGGCTTTCGTACGATGTGAAGAATTATACAGTCGAAGAGGAGGCCGAATTCTTTACATCATGCGAAAGCCGAATTCAATTATCGTTTTATTGCTAATTCAAGCTATTTTTTATTTCTTATCAATCTCACCTGCTCATAGGCTTTACCCAAGCATCTACCAGATGTTGCAGATACTCCTCTTAAAAAGTACATGTTATCCATCGAAAAAATATGTTACTGCATTTCTTCCGTTTAGTTTTATTGAGAAATTCGGTCATTTGGTCTTCGGATAGCCGTGAACGCCCCTTTTTTTATCAGATTTCTATTACTATTACTTATTTTTGTTCGATAAATAGCCTGAGCGCACTTAGAAACGAGGTTAATCGATGGTACAGTGTATATTCTTGCATCTTCCAAATGTGGTAAACTTCGGCTAGTTATGAAAAATTGAGAGTTATGTCAGAAAAAATCCTTTCGTAAACAGCTGTTTCTCTTTTCCAACCTCAGGCTCAGGGTTTCTTGTCGTCCTGTCCCCTGTAGTGAGAGATTGAACAGCTTTGAACCGAAAAATAAAACACTTCTCTCTTACATGTATTTGTAGGCTATAAGAAGTACTAAAGGTTTGTAACGCGTTGTACACGCGCTTGCCTTTACCAGTGTGTGTTTTTTGCAGGTAAGATGTTAAATTTTCAGCCAGCAAAAATGAAACTGTATTACCTCTTCATCACGAAAAGCATTCCCATTTTTCTCGTTTTTACGTGGCTGGGCCTTGAAGGAGCTCTTGCTATGCAAGGTGAGTCGAACAAAGAAGCTCGATTGGGTACTGCAATGGCTATATGTTTAACGTCCAAAATGGGAAACCCGTGATCGAACATGAAGAGATCTGCTATTTCCCGTTCTTTGCCTGCCCTTTAAATCTTTCCTTAAAGGGCTTTGAGTTACCACTAGTCCTTTTAACCTTTTTTTGTTAAATAGGTTGTGGTGCAGTGATGAACAATACACTGAAAAGTCCTCGTTATCCTAGCAAATACCCAGGCCGCATGGACTGTGTGTACAAGGTACCTATTCCGCAAGGCATGACACTGAAACTCACTTTCCTTGATTTTAGTTTGGAGAATCGTTATAGAGGACGATGGTAAGGAATTCTTTTATGTCCTTTCTTGTTACGCTAAGTGGTTCTTCGAAGTGGTGGTGCTTAAATCCAGTTTGTTTGTTAATCGAACTATATTTTTTATTTTTCTCAAAAGACATGCACTATGAACGCTTTTCTCCTGGGTAAAATTATATTCCGGCAAATGTCGCCGAAACTTGTGTTTTTTTTTATTAAACCGTCAGAACATTAGCAAATAAAAAGCAAAATGATAACATGTTAGTTGCTAAACTATCCGCATAAAAGGAACAGGTTATTTAGAACCTTTAGGCTAGAAATTTTAAGAACCTCTCTCGGCTGGTTTATCGCTACTCATCCTTTACCGTAAACTTCCGCGTTTAAACCCCGGGCTTATACGACTTCGTAAGGGGTTTTAGGAAATCTTATAAAAGGGGCACTTATCTCCGGCGGGCTTATAACCGGACTAAAACAAGCTTTAAAGGGGGCTTACATGAGGGAAGGGGTAAGGGGGGGATGGGAAGGGGGGCTTATAACCTGACTAAAAAAGGGTTTCTAAACAAGCTACTTAGCGATGCTGATCAAATCTTTTTTGAATTTGCTCGCCTTTTCAAGCTGCAAAGCGTCGCAAAATATCGAATTTTTTTTCAATACAAGCTATAGGGGCATACCCGGAGGGGGATCATACCCATATGTTTTTTTTTTTGTTTGTTTATAGGGGGAATGGGCGTGTAAGTGGAAGGGCTTTTAACTTGGCTTATAAGCGGAAGTTTACGGTATATAAGAAACGCAACAGCCTGAAACAGAAAATGAGACGTTTTTTGCGCGGTAGTTTATTGTTGTCTGGATAGTGAAAATGAAAAATGTAGTTTTGAGTACAGTGGAACCCCGCTCTACGGACACCCGCTTTATACGGACAGTTTCTTTTGTCCTGATAAAAAGCTCATATATTCTCTCTAAAATTAACCCGCTTTATACACACACTGGTTAATATGGACAACGGACACTTTTCTGTGTCCCTAGTCACAAACTCTCATATATTGTCAACCCCGCTTTACAGACACTGGTTATCTGCACACTGTCTATTTTCATTGTCACAATTATGTGATAATTGTAGACATTGTACCCTGTTCAAATAATGACAGATTTTTACGGGTGAGTAAAGTTTTATTACGGTACTAAAAAAAAAACAGTAACAAAGTAGCGTGACGTATTTGATTTTGAACAGTCTGTCTTTCTTCTGGTGTTTGACTCTTGTACTACGTATAGTCCTTTAATAAAGTTTTCTGCCTCCTGTTTCACACGTTTCACTTCCTTGGTTTTTGTTGCAGTCATTGCTCTTAACCTACTTCCTCTTTGACGTTGTTTGCTTGCTTCGAGCTGTACTAGGATCACCCTCCAGGGGCGGATCTAGGGGGAGGGTGCAGGGGGTGCGCACCCCCCCCCGCGCCTGAGATGACCTGCGGTTTTTTAATACAACTGGTATTCTGCAAAAAAATAAATATGTGGTTTATTGGTGTTGAAGTAGAGCAATAGACGAGTGCACCACCTCCTAATAAAAATCCTGGATCCGCCCCTGCCCTCCGTTCGTATTGCTGGGTTGTTGCTAACGTCTAGTAATTGTTCAAGTAAATCCCACGTGTTTCCGAGGACCATCAAAAATGTAAACACAATTGGTATTTCCATACCAAGACCACCACCCCGTTTGACTGCCTTTCCACATACTTGTACCGATCCTTGGTTCGTAAAACTGTCTGCTTTGGTCTTTATAACGCTCAGCAAATTGAATTCATTTGCATACACGCGACAAGAACGCGGAAATGTTTTTTTCGTAACGTGTCTATATCGACTTCTCGTCAGTGTGTTTCAGAGGTTCATTATGGTCGTGACATTCTTCGTTTCCGTGAGAACGTCTAGCCTCCCACGCATTAGAATCCCAACAATACAAACGATTTAATTAATTTTTATGAATTAATAATTTTTGACGCATGTATTTTTAGTATAGTGCCTTTCATAACCCTTATTGGTTTCTATTGGCTGCCTTGCTTGACAAGTTGAACTAATTTACAACACTCCACAAATATTGCAGCGCGGATTACTTGGAGATTGCAGATGAAAACCACGTGGCAATGGGTAGATACTGTGGTGAGGAACTTTCTAGACGAGATATCAATGTGGGTGGAAACGAAGTGGTCATTAAGTTTCACTCAGACTTTTACTTAGGAAAAAAAGGATTTCTGTTGGTTTTTACCCCTGTCCAACCTTGTAAGTTTAAGAGAAACTTTCTTAATGTAACGAAGCATAGGGTTGCCAAAGGGGTATCAAAAGGTTAAAGATATACTGCACCTGAAATTAGTAACAATTCAGATTAGGATATGAGCAGTGCTACAACCCTGGATTTCCATCTATTTTCTAACTTTTGCACCATGCCACCATTTGTTCTGAACAGAAAAAAGTAAGGCATCTCCCCACCCCCCATTCAAAGTTGTTTTTGTCTAAAACCCAGTGGGTAGAATTCCCGTGTTATCCTAAAGAACATTCAATAAGGAGAAGGTGGAAAACGGGTATTCATTTGGCGACGGTTTCCAAGTTTTCCATGATGACAGAAAAAAATTGTTATTTTTGCGATTCGTGCGATGTGTCTCAACTGGTTTTGTCCGTTTGCTTAATTAAGCATAGCTAAAACTTAAAGCACTTAAACGGCAGAGAATGCTAAATGCTGATAATTTCGTCTTTACTTGTACCTTACATCTTCATAAAGTTCTTCGACAAAATTAATCAGAATCTACCACATTGTATGCTAACTTTAAGATTAAGATTGCTATTTACATTTGGGTTCGTTAACCTGGGTCTCAGTATGGTAATGCCAACGTTTCCGTATTGTTAGAGAACAATAAAGTATGCCTTTCATTTCAAGTTACGCGGATCGTTGCTTGATTATTGCTATGATAAATAAAGTCGGGGACTCAGACTTTTTTTTTTTTTTTTTGTCCGTACTCGTGAGATGTTGATTACATCATTTCTCATTGATATTGTTGAACTCATTTTTATTCCAATTATTTTTTTTTTCTCACCAGCTCCTCCTAACATAACTATGCCAATTCCAGGGACAGCTGTTCGTACAGTTGAAGGTCGCTTGACGACTGTGTGTGAAGCCACAGGAACCTCTCCAGTATACGTCGCATTGATGTGGAATTCTATAGTTCTGGTCAATGAGACTGACAACGCAGTAACCCAATTGTATTTGGAGGGAAACTACCACTGCATAGCCACTAACAATTATGGAACAGACACAAGAGTTATTCCGTCTTTGTAATAAGTAAGGGAAAATGTCAGTTCCTTCATATCTAGAATAATTAAGTCCGTCACACTTCTACAATTTGTCGATTTGTTTACTAATCAGAACCTAAAAGGCACCAGGTCTAAACCAGCTTAAAACCAGCATTACGCTGGTAAAACGGTGAAGTTTAGTGTCTTCCATTTCCTATGGGCGAGGTGGCCAAGCAGTTACAACAGGGCAGCGTGACCGAGCGGTTTGAGCGCCGGACTTGCAATTCAGGAGGCCCCAAGTTCAAGTCCCGCACTGACCGCCAGCTGGATTTGTTCACGGTTGTCCCGGTTCAAATCCTCGACCACGCTTGTAAATAGCCAGCTGGTTTGCCTCCGGCCAGTTGGATTCTTAACCCTGTTAAGTTTGATTTGAATTATTTGTTTCAGGCATTTCTCGGCCTCACTAGCATTAGTGCTATAAATACTGCCGAAGGTAAATAACGGAATTATTACTTCGGACTTGAAGTCAGTTTCAAGCCTTTCCGTCTCGTTTGTTAGACAAAAATGTTGCTCAAATTTGTTTCTCTTCAGGCAGCTGAATGAACGGGTACCGGCAACAGACTGCCGAGGAAGGTAACTCATGGAATTACATTACATCTAGGGTGGAAATAGCAATACTGCTTGGTGCTTCTTGCTTAGAAAAGATGCGATCAGTGCTGAAGTTATTTATAATAGCAATAGAAAACTTATTTTTTCTGTTTTTTGCATAGCCTGATTTAACAGTTGGGGGTGGGTGTGTGTGTGTGTGTGTGGGGGGGGGGGCTGAGGTTAGTGTTCATTCGCCCATGGGTATATATAGGTAATGTGTAATTGAACAATCAAAGTGCTCTTTATTACTTTTATGCTATAAAACATTTATATATTATCATTGACAGGTTGTGGTTCTGTTGTTAACAATACACTGAAAAGTCCTAATTATCCAATGGACTACCCAAAAGCATGCGCTGTTTTACAGAGTTTCCATTCCATATGGCATGGTCTTGAAAATAGTCTTCAAGATTTTCTTCTGACATGGTAAATAGAGAAACAATGTGATTTTCTT